TTATATAAAATGCTTTTATTGTGAGAGTTAATAATGGTCTTTATGTTTGGCCTGCAGTAATAACTTATTTAGATTTTGTTTCTATTAAATATTTTACGAAGTCTCTGGTTAATTAGAAAGTGGAGATCAATGAGGTTCAAAAAACATTTATCTATTTTTGTTACAACATTTGCACTGAAAGGAGAATTATACCAAATTATCTTGCGTTTATGATAAGTGTTTGTTGATTTTATATTTCAATGGAGTCCAGGTTCACAATTGTACCCGAATTTTTTCAAGATTTTATGAAAAGGAGGAATATTTTCTTTAAAAATTGATTTACTTAACGATGCTGCTGAAAATCTTATTTCAATAGTCTTAGAAATATTTTTTAATACACTCGCTGGATAGTTAGAACTATCATGTATATAATTCAGTATATTTCTGTATGGCCTAAATTCATTATATATATATATATATATATATATATATATATATATATATATATATATATATTGACACAAATATATTTAGATTTTAAGTTAGATGTTAAAGAAAAAGAGAAAGTAGCTATTTTTTGTAACCTGTGACTTCTAATCAGGGCTTTAGAGCAGCTCCGGAGCTGGGCTTTAGAGCCGTAGCTATCCGGACCTGGCAATTTTACATGGACCTATATATATACATATATATATATATATATATATATATATATATATATAATATATATATATATATATATATATATATATATATATATATATATAATATATATATATATATATATATATATATATATATATATATATAATAATGATAAAACTTAAAAAACACAAACATTGTTTTGAAAATGACCTTTACAATAAAATCCTGTTTCTTTTGTTGAGGAATTAAAACAAGTTGATATAACTAACAAATATATAGTTTCCTATGAAGTTGAAAGCTTATTTACTAATATTTTACTAAATGAAACTTTAAATATAGCTACTGATTTACACTTTAAAGATGAAACGTGTTTTTCTAAAACTCAGTTCAAAATATTACTTCAAATCTCAACATCCAGTCTTCGTTTCTTATTTAACGGGAAATATTATGATCAATTCGATGGCGTTACCATGGGTTCTCCTTTAGCGCCAATTTTAGATTTTTTATACATTTTAATAAACAACATAAAAAATTAAAGTTTATTATGGAATAGGAACAAGATAATTAAATGGCAATTTTAGATGTTCATATCAATAAGTCGCTTTCCACATCAGTTTTTCACAAAATAACATATACGGGTCTTTTTCAAAAACTCTTCAGTTTTGTTCACTTTTGTTATAAAATTAGTATTATATGCTGTTTAATTGATAGAACGTATAAAATCAAAAACATATAGCTGGGATTTGATAAGGACGAAAAAAATCTATTTTATGTTTTTAAAAATAACTAATATCCATCTAAATTAATTGACTCTGAAATTAAATTATTTGTTGATAAAAAATTAAATCCATCTGTAATAAATAAAGTTGATAACCCTAATATAAGATAATATAAACATCCATTTATAGGACTTCACTCAAGTTTTATTAAATCTAAAATTGATAAAATCATTAAAAAATATTGTAAAGATCTTATAATTAATTTAATTTTTACTTCTAACAAATTACAGAACAGTTTATGTATAAAAGATCCACTTCCTATGCTGCTCAAATCCAATGTTGTTTACAAATATTCTTGTGCTGGATGTAATGCCAGTCATGTGGGAGAAACTCCAGACACATAATAATAATGATTCATGAGCATCTTACTAGTGACAAAAAATCTAATGTTTATAAGCATTTAATAGCATTTGTTAATTGTTAAAATCTAAGCAACTGTAATTGTTTTAAAACTGCTTCAAACAAAAGCAAATTGAAAGTTAAAGAAGTACTCCATATTAAATGGGAAAACTCATCATTAAATAAACAAACTGTTTATTATAATATATATATGTATATACATATATATTATAATAAACAAACTGTTTATTATAATATATATATATATATATATATATATATATATATATATATATATATATATATATATATATATACATATATCTATCTATCTATCTATCTATCTATATATATATATATAAATATATATATATATATATATATATATATATATATATATATATATATATATATATATATATGTATATATATATATATATATATATATATATATATATATACATACTTGTATTATATATATATATATATATATATATATATATATATATATATATATATATATATATATATATATATATATATATATATATATATATATATATATATATATATATATATATATATATATATATATATATATATATATATATATGTTTATTTTAGTTAAAAATATAGAAAATTGATTTCTTATTAATTTATAATTTATTTCCAACTAATATAATTTTTTTGTCTAAGTTAGGCGTACTTTTTGCGCAACCTTAACTTAACACAAACGCTGCAAAATGTTTGTCAATACCAAATAGTTACGAAGAAATAAATTTGCTTCCGTATTTTACGCGAGTTACAAAAGTTTTGTTGCACCCTGAATTGTTTAGTCTTTTTGCAGCAACGGTAGACGCTTATCTCCACAATTTAAACATGAATCGCTTCGCAATTAATATGTTTTTTTACATATTAAAATTTTTGTATTTACTAGTTATTTAATTAGTTAATCATTTCTAATTTCTATAAATTGTTTATTGATTTATTTATTGAAATACTTGCATGAACCAAAAGTAAAAAGCGAGCGCTGAGAAAGAAGTATTGAAAGCAAAACAAACAAAAGCATTTTTCGTATTTTTAAGACCAGGCTCCAATTATTTCAATCTTTTGAAGAGCATTTTTATTTGAAATGATATAAAGCTCAAAAAAAACTTTGAGTTTCTGCTCCATGTCTAAAAGCTGGCTACTTTAAACACCAAAAAACAATGTCGCCGCATCTGAATATTCAGAAAACTATAACAAAATGCCATATTAGCTGACTTGTCAAAATATCTTTAGCCACGTAGATGGACTTATGCTACTCTGTTGTGCAGCAATATTTATTTGAGAAATATTGTTCATTGGCTTTTAACAAATCCAACGAAACTAGAACTGAAAGGAAAATTAAAAACTGAGCTGAAAAAAAAATTAAAAAATCACAAAAACTTAGTCACAAACCTTGCATCAATGGATTTCATATTTTTAATTAACACTTAAATATGTATCTTTAAAAACAAGTCTAACTTTTAAATATTCAATCTAATTTAAAATAAATTTAGTGCACATTTCATTGAATAAATATACTTTTGAGTTATTCTTGCAAAAGATTTCAAATAAAAATGTGTAAGATATAATAAAGAAGTTTTAAAAATTGATAAAAAAGTGAATTAAGCTTCTCAACTAGATGTGTTTAAACAAAAAGCAATTCTACACATAAATGCAAAATAATGCGTAAAAGCAAAAACGTTTTAACTGATATAAAATGGCAAAAAAATTGAGACAAATACAATCTTATGTTGTCATTGGGGGTAGAAATTGAATATGGTTGAATTTTCCCAAAATTAACCTTCGCGTGATACGTGAAACACGTAGATTAGGTTTTATATAACTTCAATTTAATCTTCTGATAAATTTGGGTTGCTTAAGTTTTATATGATACTGAGGACATTGTTTTATAATTAGAAAAAGTATTTAACAACTTTTTTTTGTGCTAAATATCGGAAAGTTTCAGATTTTCATCGATTAATGCAAGACATCTCAACTTTCAAACCATATTTTCTTATATTCAAAAAGCTGTCAGTTACAACCTTATATAACCTTGGCACGTATTTGTAACATTACAACAAGAAATTCAGTTTTTTCATGAGCCCATAGTTAAGTTACAGAAAAAATCCTGTGACATCAAAAATGTTTCAAAATTGGTATTTCTGAAATTGTTAGAACTACCATGTTAGAAATTGTAAAATTCTTAGATAAAATTACTATATTTTCCTTATAAATTTATAAGCATGCTTTATCAATTGCAACAAAAATAAAACATAAAATCATAGAAAAAAATAGTTTGCAACAATCTCATCAAATAAATCCACTTTTTTAACATTTTAAAGAATATTTTAAAGGCTCTTTTATTATTCCGTTCATGGATAATGTGTTGAAAAAATTTAAAAAATAATTTTAAATTATTCAGATGTATTTGAGTATTTTATTATAAAAGTAATCTTATCAGCTTTCACTTCTTAAAAAATGTGACAGAAAATGTGGTTTTGACGTCAACCAGATAATTTGCCTCTTATGCTCATAAAGAATGTAGTAATGGATGTGCGCAAGAAAATTGTCAAACATTAGGTTCATTTTTTTAATTCTCTTTTTCACTTCTGAAAAAATAGAAGCATGTTCGTTAGGAAATTGTAACATTTCAAAACACACAGATCAATTTAAAAACCGCAAGGCCAGCAATATTTATACTACTAAGTTATTTTTAATTTTTTTCTGTTAAAAAAGTAAAGCAATAAATCTGCATATATATATATATATATATATATATAATATATATATATATATATATATATATATATATATATATATATATATATATATATATATATATAGCATACACTAAACTCTGATATCATAATCATCTCAGATATGCAAATGTTTTAAACACTTTCAAACATAGCGTCAAACATAATACAAAATAAGCCATAACAAAATGGTTTTACTTTTATTTTTACTGCAACATTATTTAAATAAAAACTTTTCACTTAAGATGATAAGCTTTTTTAAAATTTATTTTTTATTATGACTAAAATCCCAAACTCAAAAAAGATGTCTCTTAACCCTTTTTTAATTTTAGCTGAATATTATAAACATGAAAATTTAACCACATATAAAACGCGCATTAATTCCAAAGCATCCTGTGCAAACGGAAAAAATTTGCATTAATAATTGTTTTATCCATATAAAAATGTCTTTAATTTAATTTTAGTAAACGCTTTTTACCTTGATTAATAAATCTAAGTCTTGAAGAATGTTTTTTCTTATACCTTCCACCAGTAGTAATTAAAATACGAGAATCCACAAAATGTTCAACAATAAAAGGAGTAGACTTTTAAAATATGGATAAAAAATGACGCAGTTTTTATGCTATTGGTTATTTTTACATATTTCTATGCCATTGGCCAATTTTACGCAAAAAAATATAAAAATAGAAAGCATGCAAAATCCTATTTTACGATCTGCGTATTTTTATACTTCCGCGTTTTTAAACTTAATAAGCTTTACGAGCCAATTTTGCATTTAATCTGGCTGCTTTTTGCATTTAATCTGGCGGTTTCTTGCATTTTAATCTGATGTTTTAAAATTTATATCAATTTTATGAAACTTGTTACAAACTGCTTGAATAATCTGTAACAAAAAATGTTTACATATTCCAGTTAAAAATAAATTTAGATGCATATACAAAGCCGTGCATAAAATATGGGAACCCCAACATCCTTCAGTTTTGGCGGTCAAAATCATTCTTGATGAGTTTGACTAAATGAAAGCTCATTTGATGCCATTGTCAATGGAATTGAAACAAAAATACGCAGTGCAATTACTAAATTTCTAAGAGTTGACCAAACTTTATAACAGAAATTCGCATATAAATAAAATGGTTTTATTTTGTTAAACAAAAAGCATATCTTCAGTCAACTCACATTACAAGAAAATTTCTGCAAAAAAAGGGGAAAAGGCACTCTTGATATCTGTTTCAGACAGTTTTTGTTATTTCCACTAAAGAGAGAATACAGCAAAGATTTCTTGAATTGCTATGAAACGAGCAGTGAGTTTATCAATCACAGAATCAGGAATGCGATAAAAAACGGTTCTCCAATATGTTGCTTTTCCACCTATTTTTTTGTCTGTTAATTTTGTGGTATGGGGCATCACCATTAATTTTCTCCGCAGCAAAACTTTTTCACTTAATTTTTCTGTAAAATAAAAATTCAGAATTGACTTTCACAGTAACTGTAGCTATATTGGCTTCTTCCAAATTTGTTGGTCATTTCTTCTAAACATTTTTGAGTTAACTGATCAATACTTAAAAATTTCCCACTTTAATATCATAGTTGCTTTTCTTACCTGAATGACCTGGTTTAGCAATCAATAAATGTAAGGACTTTTATCTTAATTTCAGACACATTTAAAGAAGGTTGGATATTTAAGGGCAATTGTAATCTCAGTTTTTGTTTTAGGGGTGAGATTCAAGTTCTGAACTTCTTTCAAAGATTCAATGATTTGGCTCAAGTGATTTTGAAAAGGGCGAATGCTATCAATTTTCTCAGTCCGTCATGTTCCAGATTGCTCATGCAAAGACTCACAACGGAGCCTCTTATTAAATATTTCCCAGTGATGTGGTCTAGCAAAAGGTTTGTATACACGGTTTAAACAGTTCTAAAGAAAGTATCAGCATCTGTACAGCTTGAGGTAGCATTCTGTCCACACACGTTCAATGAATGATAACAACAGGGTGAAAATATAGTCAATGGGTTTTTCTTTAGTATGAACGCTTGAACACCCTTGTAATGTCTTGACATCTTGACTACACTATCATAGCCTTGGCCAAATCAGTCTTCAAACAATTTTTTAAAGTTTTTTAAGTTTCCAAAACTATTCCTGCAATATCAGTTATAATCTTTTTGGCGTGAAATGCAAAGATTAAAAACTGCTCATCAATTAAAAACTGCTCATCGTGTACATATCGAATGACAATTGTGTTTTGTTCAGTATATCACACATCAGGAGTGGCATCATTCATAATTAAAAAATACTTTCCCATTTGTATTCTTTTACAATACGCCGGCAAACCTCAGCTGCACAAAAGAGAAATGAATTCATTTTTAAAACAATTTTACTGGTAATGCACCTAAAAAAACGATGATCCGTTTTCTGTGATTGTTTAACATTTATCACATGTTTCTTATAATTTGGGTCATAATGCGAAACCAGTTCCAGCAACGATAACAAATTTTGATTATGAGAATTAGGTCAGATTTTTTACAAAAAGGTAATCCACATTCAGCAAGAAACAGAATCGCATTAAAATATACTCTAGGATTTTTTTTCATGTGTCTGCTTCAATGAGGATTTGACAAAATGTTCAATTAACTGATCAGTTTTCATTCAAACTTCTAACTCACGCCACTAAATGTGGAACTATTTATGGGCTTTTAAGTGTTCATGCTCAAGAATTCGACTGATGAAATTCTTTGTTTCCTTATCATATCCCCATCTTCCATTCATTACAAGAGATAAAGTCAAATGAGGAACTGGATTTTCAGGTGAAAATAATCGACATTAAAAACAAAATACTGCTGTCTCTGTTGTGCTAAAAACAAGGCAATCTCGCGTGTATGATTCCTCTTTTGGTACTTTTTTTTCAAAGCAGACATTAGAAATATGCGATTTCCAGTATATTTTGTCATATTCAATAAAAAGGGAATGTAAACAGTTCTTAAAAACCTTTCCAGTAAGTAGATGAAAAATTTTCGATTTTAAATTCACAATGTCTAATGGCTGCAAGAAAGCTGGTCCAACAGTGCTAGTGGTTCTTGTAGAAGCATTACCAATAGCATCAATTTGACTGTCTTGAAAACATTTTGGCTATTATCATTGTACCGCCACTGTCAGCAATATAACCAATAACACATGATTGGATGCTACTATTGTATTCTTGAAGCGTTAAGCTTGTGAAGAGACAACTAATGTCTTGACAGTAGTTTTTATTTCAACATCAAATAATGTTTGCCTTCCATTTCGTAAAGCCGCTTCTTTTGCTTAGCTAGTGCTTAACTTTGATGATACTGATGTATACGCGCGTCTCATTTTTAGTTTTTCCAAATATTTTGCTAAACTATATATAGAATTTAAATCCAGTAAACATTCTAGCACGGAACATTAGTCGACCTATATAGGCATTTGAGTGGTCCACTGTAGTTTTTTGCATCAGTTACATAGTGGACCATTGGTCGCTGCCAAAAAAAGTAACTAGCCGGCTAACGGTCATTTAAGAAACCGATGAGTAAAACTCTAATGAACGTTCTAAACTTGGATATATAGATTCACTGAAAGTCCACTAAAACAACGTAAGCCCGCTGAAATAATGTAAATCCACTAAATCAATGTAATATATATATATATATATATATATATATATATATATATATATATATATATATATATATATATATATATATATATATATATGTATATATATATATATATATATATATATAATATATATATATATATATATATATATATACATATGTATAAATATATACATAAATATATATATATATATATATATATATATATATATATATATATATATATATATATATATATATATATATATATATATATATTATATATATATATATATATATATTAAAGTTATAGGTCCTAAAATTAAAGTTTTAGGTCCTATTTATATGTATTCCAATAATATTTTAATCCCCACCCTTTTTTTTAAAAAAGAATCATAGCTGAAACATGTTTTAATCAATATCATTAAACTTTTGGGTCAAGTCATTGTATCATTTTAAGCAAAAGAGTAAATATAATAAAAAAATATAAAACAAAAAAAAAGTGAAAACAAAACAGTGTTCCCCATTCATTGTAATACAATAAGAATTAAAACGTGTATTGTTTTATTTTATGAATATTTTAAACTAATTTTAATGTATTTTAATATAAAATACATTTATGTTTACAATTTTGGAAATATACGCTAATAATTATACAATAAATGAATATAAAACCTTTATCAAAGTTGTCATTTTAATTATGAAAGTTTATTGAAAAATTATTTTGATAAAATTAAATGTTATTGTTATAATTTTTAAAAACTGATCATTAAAAAAATTCAAAAAATTCTTTTATTTTCATTTCCCTTTTTATTTATTTTTTAAATCATGCTTTATATGCATGCCTTATATGAACTTTATGAATATGAAAAGGATAACTTTATGCTTAAAAGATTTAAATTTAATCAAACAACCTTTAACAAAACAATATGGTTTTTCTTTTTATTCAGCTAACTATCTTTACATAGAAGACTATTATATTGATTGATTTTCTAAATAAATAATTGCACATTTTTCATATATATATATTAATCTTTTTTCTTTTTGAACATGTAAAAAAATTTTATAATTGTTTAGTTATAGGAATTGTTAATACATTAATATTATAATTGTAATGTATTAAATGAATATTTTAAACGATTTTCGCTTTCAGTTTCGATCGTATATTGTACCTAAAATCCTATTTAATTTATGTCGACGATAGTCACGCTAGATTTTTTAACACTCAAAAAGCACAACAATTCCTAAATAACTTATAAAAACAACACCCTGCGATACAATATACGATCAAAACTGAAAGCGAAATTAGAACTCTGAACTTTCTCGATTTAACCATATTAAACAACAACAAATAAAAATACGAGTGTAAAGTATAAGAAAGGAAGCCATTACTAATATTCAAATAAAACCTCACTCAAATCATGACCCTAAGATTCTAAACGCAATATGTAAAGGTTTCGTTCACAGGACTTATTCTTATGCGGTAATTTATATTTACAAGACAGATCAATTTCCTTATTCAAATGTTCAACAAAAAGGGGTACAACATTGTTAACTTAAACGGATTGGAAACTTAATTGGAAATAAACGGTCCTTAAAACTCAACAAAATTCAATCAGCCTCTCTTAACATCCTATGTATCGTTACCGTGGATATCATTACTATCCCCGAAACTAAGGAAAATATTTTGGAAAGCTAGCTATAGAGTCGTCTTCAAATTAAATCCAAATTTAAAAACATTACTAATGTCAAAAAACAAAAATAAGTCGCCACATAATAGTCAACGCGGAACTTATTTGATTGAATGCAAATGCTCAAAGAGATACGTAGGGCAAAAATTAAGTTTCGAAAAAAACTCTCTTTTTCCCACCAAAGAAGGCCGTTTCGGAGTTATAGTCGGTTTTTTTACAACTTTAGCTTTTACGGCTCAGTCGGTTAAATTATTGGTAAAGTTTTTTTGCCACACATATA